TAAATTTGATATTTTTCGCTCAGCTTTTAAAATGAAGGGGTTGTTATTTCATCGAACATCAACTGTAGATTTCCAATTTTCATTTAAATTGTCGTTTATTTCCTATATATAACATCAGAATGTATTTCTGGTATATATATAAAAGGCAGGTGACACTAAGCTCAGCAAGAACATTTACTTAATTAGTCTAATCTAAACCCGGAAAACGCAACGCAAAATGTTAACTTTGAGCCACTAGCTTACCTGTTTTGTTTTATTAATGAATAAAGTTCAACTTTCTACCAAAACCCAGCCAGATGCTAATGCAAACTGATGAAGCAACGAAGTGGGGGCAGAGGGGACATAGGACGACTCACAGACGATTGTAATAAACAACTACATATACATACAACTGCCCGTCAATTTCGTCAACAACAAAATACATTATCCTTTCCGAATAAATAAAATATTATCAGTTAGGTTTATGCAACCCAATATACTCGCCAAAGTTCAACTCAACAACAAGAAATAATATCCTATTCAAATAAATAAAAGATTGCTGGCCAAGTTTATGCAACCCAATATACTCGCCAAAGCTCAACTCACAACAAGAAATAATATCCTATTCAAATAAATAAAAGATTGCTGGCCAAGTTTATGCAACCCAATATACTCGCCAAAGCTCAACTCAACAACAAGAAATATTTTCCTATTCAAATAAATAAAAAATTTCTGCTCAAGTTTATGTAATCCAATTATAATCGCCGAACCTGTAATTAGAATTCCTTTCAACAGCAAAAAATTAAAAAATATCTTATTCAAATAAATAAAAGATTGTTGACTACACGTAAACAACCCAATGTACTCGCCCAGGAGCTATAGTTAAAATAATCCTTAATCCCTTTTCGGTCAATCCTATGTTACCGTTTACAAGATTGGAAATAAAAATAAAAGTAGAACCTAAATTTTTTGCGACTATGCGACAGCTACCGATTATAAAAACGGTTAATCTTTTTTTAGGACACAAACTACGTAAAACAGTTTATCTCTCTGGAGTTGTTATATTTTCTACGTGTTTTGCTAAAAAAAAAAAAAGTTTACGCGAATGCCAATGGAAATTGCTAACTCAGGGACTACAGGACGCAAACAAATTATACTCTTTTTATAAAGCTCGCGGACTTGAAAGGCTTTCCAATTCTAGCAGCGCCGTTGTAATTCTGAAATTCAAAAGCTCTACAGAAACCTCCATATCATTTTCTCCAGATGCTGAATAGATCAAGGAACGGAAGCAGCTTTTGTCCCCGTAAATAACAAAAGAAATACTTTTATTTATCTTCCGCGCTAATATTTTGAATCGCTGCCTTTTCCGAATGTTATTATGCGCACATGAGGTATCCGGAGAACTTAATTATAAACACCACTTATATTTAGAGCAAAAGCTCGTTCTTCCCCGTCAGGCAAGTATGTACTTATGTATTTGAATAGAAAATTATAAGAGAAAAAAAGTTTGTCATGTTTTAATTTTAAATGGAATTAGAAATTAATTAAAACTACCCTATAAGTTTAAATGTATAGGTACGTTTTTATTAAGACTTAAACTTTCGACTGTGCAAGGTTGATAAAGCATGTTTTTAATAACGAAATCAACAAAAAACACAAACTAATTTCAACGAATATATATCAACAAACTCGACAATTGTTTCAGCTAAATGGTCATTATCTTTAAAATGCAACTATTCAAAATTAAAATGTGGAAATTATATATACTGATAAACTTTTGGGATTGCCAGACGTATTACAAGTTCAAGAGAAACAGTATTTAGAAAGCAGAATTCTTTGAGGTTGTTTGCAATGTTTTTCTTTTATTTCTAAAAATTCAAGTAGAGTCAAGTTTCCTCTTTTTAGTTGACAATAAACTAGCTAATGTACACTGTTAATATTTAGTGTATTGTGATTTTTTTATAAACAATTTTCTATTAGGTCAATAACATACTTTTTGTTCTTTATGCTAGCCAAGTGTTCTTTGAAACGAATTTCCAAAGAACGACCTGTCTGCCGTATATACAAGGCAATATGACAAATTATATATACTGCTTTCAAAACTATAATGGAAGTCGCCCTTAATAGAGATCACGTTTTACAAATTAACATAATGTTAGTTAATAACAATTAAACCTCTATAAATTCTAAAATTAACTTTCGTTAAAGTTTCCACCCACCATCACGAGCATATAATTTGGAAGGTGTTGTTAGAGTAAGTAATTATTGGATGATCCGCTAAGTATCTTCGATATTACCTATCCCGTTCTCAAATTACCCCAAAGTTTAGAAAGAATCGCTTTAAACACATCGGTGTTCACTTCGTAACTACGAACTAATTAACCTAATGCTAATGATGTTGCGATACATTGCTGATGCGTGCGTAACAAAATTTGGGTTTTGGGATTTTCACTATTTCGTTCTCGCTAACTCAACGTAACTTCCCAACTCTCAAGTAAAATTGTGGAAAGTTAAAGTTAATGTAGCGAGACGCTTAGGAATACACAAAAACCAACAGGAGACTGAGGAAATGCTTCTACTAGATAGTTTATTGAGTGGTTTCGTCTACGGGAAAACTGGAATGCATTTAAAAGATCTGCAAACTTTATAGGCAACTTGAAGAAAAACTTTTACATACCTCTTGGGCCAGTTTTATTGCGTACCATTATAGTTATAACTTTGGATGTAGGACGTAATTTCCGAAACTACTCATCCATTCTATATAACAATTCGTTAAAATAAAAGGGCTCTTCGTGGAGGTCACATCCATAACTAATCAATATTAACTTTGGTGAACCAATAATTCGGTATTAATCAATAATAAAATACATCAAAAATGGATAAAATTACCAAGGTACATTCCATAGACTTTCAAAGTTGGCGTCAACAATTCCTATAACAACCTTAAAGAAGCAATTGTATTAACTTTACTATTAAATTACTATTTTTATTAATTTGCCAATTAAATTTCTAAGATGTATTAATTATTTATTATTATAACATTTGTGAAGTTGTTTTGAAGAGGAAACCCTTTTGTTTGAATCCAAGCCTACATAGCATAATAGAATTTTATCGAGAAGTTAAACTTGCTTTCGTAACGTTAACAAAATTAGAATCCGGCCCTTTACTTTAAAACCTCATTAAACAATAACGTAATAACTACTACACTCAAGCAAAAGTTCAACCGCTTAGTTACAAATTCTACCAGATATTCTACGAATTCAATTATTAACCCAGGTTTACCCTCCATTATCATATATTTCTTATAAAAAATACTACCAAAGTATTTAAATTTTTTAGATCACGCTCACACCATTTAATCAAATTGATTTGTCACAATATCCTTCTTAATTACTACAATGCAACCCAATATACTCGCCAAAGCTCAACTCAACAACAAGAAATATTTTCCTATTCAAATAAATAAAAAATTTCTGCTCAAGTTTATGTAATCCAATTATAATCGCCGAACCTGTAATTAGAATTCCTTTCAACAGCAAAAAATTAAAAAATATCTTATTCAAATAAATAAAAGATTGTTGACTACACGTAAACAACCCAATGTACTCGCCCAGGAGCTATAGTTAAAATAATCCTTAATCCCTTTTCGGTCAATCCTATGTTACCGTTTACAAGATTGGAAATAAAAATAAAAGTAGAACCTAAATTNATACTCATAATATAAGTAATTTATGCTAAAAACTTTTCGCAAACATTGATCTAAAAGCATTTCTTTTAACACATATTTATTATAATTAAGTATTGGACAGCATTCTGCTAAAAACGACGTGTTTTTATTTTAAATTGACAAAAAGAGGGGGACTCCCCTCTCCCGTCTCACGTCAGATTTACCCAAAAAAGAAATTTTAATAATTTTTTATTATCTGCATATAATAATGTATATACCTTGCATTAAACAGTTGATATAGGATTTTTAATGACTTCTCACCACTCCCGCTTCCTTTAAAATGAAAAATGTAATATCCTGTTTGATGCTACTTACCTACCAAATCTTTTTTTTTTTTAAATACTTATTTATAGATAATGTAAGTACTTTGAGCCTTCAAAGGAACATCGCAATAAAGTATGTCTCACGATTAATAGAAATTTTTAATTTCCACCAAATTTCCTCAACTGTAAATGGCCGAAATGGTAGAAGACGGTCAGACAATGGAGTTAAAAAGGTTATTATATTTTTTGCGCTCAAACTCGGCAGCTATTAATTTCGATAATAAGTTTGTTGGTCTGTTTTTTCTGGAGCAGAAACGTAACAAAGCCAAACGTTTTCGATTAAAAGGCTTGTTTGTGGCAATTTACGAAAATGCGTGCGAACATTAATTTCGAACAAACATGTCCTTTCATTTATCAATTTATTTAACTAAACCGATCGCAATAATTAATCATTTCGCAACGAAAAAGGTTTAGTGCAAATGACGCATGAATAAAAATTCATATATTGCCGATGCTGCACTTACTGACTCGTTCTAATCAAGAACAGTTGGAACAATTACAAATTAAACGTTTTTTATACATTTTGTGTTAACTTTGAGTAGGATTAAAGGGAAGCAGAATTTTTTTGTCCAATGTTCTGTCTCTACGTATTCAGTATAAACAAGAAAACAAAGCACAATTACGGCATAGCTAATACAAGGGCATTCTCAACCGACCAAAAAAAAAACAAGAGGAATCAACTGTATCTTTTTATGCGTATATACGGGATTTCTTCGTCAATTGTAAACCCATTATAATGATTCTTTTTTTATTTGACAGAATATATATCCCATTTAAATTTGAAGGATGAAAAATTAGAGAAAGATCAAAAATCGTTATTTCGGTTAAATCTTTTTAGTTTAAGTTTGTGCATATAAAAAAAAGTATTGAATTCGGTTTTTACGTCAGCATATTTAAATTAAATAACAAATTGTTAATTATTTGTTTTCTTAATCAAATGTTCAAAAAACTGCTATACACTTTTGTTTCAGAATGTTGTAATGTGGTCCCTCGATCGAGCCAAGTAGTTTCCAATTGAACGGACCATCTTCGCAGCAATGGATAGCAACGTATCCGATTTTTACTCTAACGCAACCGAAAACTACAACAGTGAATTTTCGGTTTACTCCATGACATTCATCTTTCAACAGGTGGTCCTTGCGATAGTTTGCTGCGTGGGTTTGTTGGGAAACACTCTGGTCATCTATGTGGTATTGAAATTTTCGAAAATGCAGACGGTCACCAACATGTACATCGTCAATTTAGCCATTGCCGATGAGTGTTTTTTGATTGGAGTCCCTTTCATCATAGTGACGTCGATCAAAAAATCTTGGATTTTTGGCGGTGTAATGTGCAAGGCGTACATGATTTTAACAAGCATCAATCAGTACGCCAGTAGTATATTCCTGTTTATAATGAGTGCAGACAGGTACAGTTCATTTATTTAGTAGAAATTGCTGTTTTAGAAGAAATTAAAAAAAAAATACAACGTGTAATTATACAACACGCTACTGAAGTGAAACTTCTTCAAACACACAAACATACCGGGATAGGGGTTAAGAAATTGATTTAATGGTATTATTTGTACACTAAGCTTCGTACGGAAGCAGTGCTGATAGTAAATATTCTATAGAATGTCTTTATATACAACATTCAGTTTTTTTGTCATTAGACAAAACAAACCGCCCTCCCGGCCGGTACCGCCGCAACCGCTATGTCCCTGCATTTTAAGTCTGTAATATCTTCGAAAATATTCATTTAAATTACATGCTGTAAAGGGCCATATTGATCTATATTAAATGCACAAAATATTTAAAAGTACTTAATTGGATAAGGATTAATGCTGTATTGCTTAAAATCGCTACGTAAATAAGCCATTATTTCTCGTAAAAAGTAAAGGATACAAAGTGGTTATTGTGGGTTATCCCAAAGAGATAGACATATACCATCCCAGACTTTTTTGTAGACCTTTTTAAGGTGTACAATACTGTAGTATATTATTTTGGTCTATCTCGTAGGGTTCAGCCAGCGTTTGCAATGTAAGCGAAAAAAAATGTGTTTATTTACGACAGTACATTACAAACCTCTAAAATTATCAGTGTTTCTCTACTATATTATGCATGTATTATACATATAAACCTTCCTCTTGAATTACTCTATCTATTAAAAAAAACCGCATTAAAATCCGTTGCGTAGTTTTAAAGATCTGAGCATACATAGAGACAAACAGCGGAGGAAACGCGTTGCATGATTTCGTTACATAGCAACTCGCATGAAACGAACTTACTCTACCGTGCGTAAAGAAGTTTCACTTCAAAAAAACTGATAGATTTGAAACAAAACAAACACAAAAATTAATTTTATTAGGTGGAACAATTGAGTTAATGACCTTCCACCTATAGTAAAAATTTGGTAAAAAAAATCCAACAATTTTAAATTGTCAAGACTTTCTTTGCTGCAATACGAACTTCTGGTTCCATTTTTAGATCATAAATCACTTCTTCATTTCCAGATATGTAGCAGTATGTCACCCTATTTCATCCCCTAAATGGCGAACTCCTATCATTTCAAGAATAGTCTCGTTGTGTGCGTGGATTTGTAGCATCACCCTGATAAGTCCCATCCTCATTTACTCCACGGAAACCGAGCAAAGGAACGGTAGAAACGGCCTAAATGTTACAGCAAAGACATGCCAAATAGTATGGTCAACGGACAACTCAACTGAAGAAAATTTCGAAGAGCAGACTCTTTCAATGGCCGCCATGTTTATTTTGTATACCTTTGTGTTCAGTTTCGCCATACCCTTATGCCTTATTTCAGTGTTTTATTGCCTAGTCATCCAGAAATTAAGAAACGTTGGTCCAAAAAACAAATCCAAAGAAAAACGAAGATCTCATAGAAAAGTAACGAACCTCGTTCTTACTGTAGTCACTGTCTACGTGTTATGTTGGTTGCCATATTGGATTTTACAGTTAGCAATGATCGCATCTCAGAAAGAACCCTCTCATTTTGTGGTTACGCTTAATTTACTTGCTTCGTGTCTATCATATTCCAATTCTGCGGTTAATCCAATCCTTTACGCCTTTTTGAGCGACAATTTCAAAAAGAGTTTCCTCAAAGCATGCACGTGTGCAGCGGGAAAAGAAATAAATGCAACTCTACAGTTAGAGAACAGCGTTTTTCCGAGAAAATCGAAACTTGGAACGGACAAGTTTCGACCCTCTCGTGCTACGTCAATTTGTCCGACTAATGGAGAAGACTGCGATGTTGGTCTTCTCGTTAGTAAAACGGATGCCTCTACATCAAAGACAAATGTAACCTTCACAACGGAAAATAAAACGAAGGATACCATTGTAAGAAATGGTATACCTTCCACACCAAACTCAGCTACAAATTTATAAATGGCATTGACGTTAGAGAAATAAAAATGAGATATAAAGTGATATCATTTTCCACTAACTGTGTAATTGAAAGATTTCTCGAGATGAAACCGGGTTAGCTCTCGGCATATTGTCAAAGAACACAAAACAAGTTCTTCACCAATAACTATTACGTATTTACCATACTTTGTACTATCTTCCGCAAATGATATACAGTGGAATCCGTTTATTATGACTCCGCCTATATTGACCAACCGCTTAATATGAAGTAATTGCAGTGTTAAGTTTGGTTTTCAGATTAAATCCTCTACACGAAAGTTTGGAAACAATGACTCCTTTTAAAATGACATATCGTTTATTATGACTGATTCTCAAGAATCCGGCTATAGTGACCCAAACGATTAATAATAACATTTTCGCTCATTTTTTTGACCCTTCTTACGTATATTGATATTACAATTCATCGTTCTTTTTCTTTTTCTGTTAATAAATATATACAATTTGTAGTTTTTCTCTCTATTAAACTAAATAACTAACCAAAATAGAAAGTTGTTTATTTTCTAAGACTATGCTTTGTATGACTCCCGCTTAGTATGACGTGTTTGTCATTTCCCTTGGATGTCATTATAAGCGGATTCTACTGTATTAACATATTTTCAATTAAAAGCAGATATAAAGTGTGAAATAAAGTGGAATTACACAATTAATAAAAAACATTTCATCCCTTTATATCTGCTCTTAATTGAAAGTATTTTCATATTTACTAAACCAAAGATTACAATAAGCGAATAAACAAGACATTAGGTAAGGCTATTACAAAATGTTATGTATTTGAAAATATCGTTCGGATTTTTTCATATAGATAAATAAACCTAGAACCCATCTACGGTACAAAATGGGACAAGTATCTCTTGAAGACATCATTTTGACGAAACGAACAAAAAATTGTAAATTAATTGAACTATTTTCAATTTCTCTTTGAATACACGTATTTTCAATCGCTCTAGTCACCTTTAGTTAAGCATCGAATTTAATTGAAATTCTTAATCAACATTTTCATGTCTTTGAAGTATTTTAAATAATTACTTGACAAACGGTAAATAATTGCAAAACAATTCCAGGTTAACTTTTATTTTGCAGACAATGTTATGCATTAATATATTAATAATTACAACAAATAATATAAATAATGCCTGGAAGACATGTTCTTTGGATAATTCCGTTGTGAAAATTTTTATTTGTAATCTAGGTAGGTACCAAATTCAAACTGAAATCGTTTTATCGGTGATATTGCTAATACCATAATAAAAAGGAAAAAGCAGGGTAAAATTAAATTAAAAACAATATTTTCAAAACTTTAAACTTTGCAAAATCTTACTTATCGTCGACTTGTAATAAATATCTTGTAATTACATAGACCCAACGTTTCGGGTACGACTAACCCTTTATCAAATAACTTAATGTTCTACGTTAGTTAATATAACAATACATGTCACACTACAACAAAGTACCACATATTCATTTCCTCATATATAAATACATAAAAAATATTGTTGCCAAAGTAAAATTTAAATGTGATTAAATTAATATGTGTATGTATAAATAAAAGTCAGTTTTCTTCAAATTAAAGTAAATAATAATAATCGCATCAACGACATAACAGAGCTTAGAGAATTTTATTAGATGAGCCCAAAAAATTTTCTAATCTCATTTTATGTCGATTACTCCTGTACAGCTACTATACTGGTCATTTACCATTAACACTTGTAAAAGCGACTTATTTAGTCGCTATTGTATTTGTTTGTTATTTATTAATAACATGGATGTGCAAACTGTGATATTATGAAACTTATGAGTGCAGAAATATTTTACTCATACTAGATAAGTAATGCGAAACTTGCCGTAAATGAAATAATATCCAAAACCATTATAAAAATGTTAGAGTTTAATAACTTTTTGTCATTGATGACGGCAGTTAAGTACGTATTTATATGTTGGTGTTTTGTGTTACATTTGTAAAAAGTAGATAAGAGCATTTTTCTTAAGATTCTGTGTTACTTTATATATACCGTGTAAGATGTATTTTATTTTTTGTTATATAATGGAATATGTACATACATATACCTATCTAAATGTAGATAAAATAAATTTTTTGCCAAAAATTTAATTTTTATTAAAACCTTAAATGAGACAAGACACATAATATGCTACTGTTGCATCAAACGAATTTTAATATTCATGTGAAACAAATTTGAATTCAAACCCAATAATTTTACCGCCCATTAGAACAAGAGAGATTAATGTTTCTTTAGACACCACAGTGCGTTCTTTTAGACATTTCCTTGTTTGTTTACCTCGTAAGTGTCAAGTAACAAAACATAACCTGAGAATTGATGACCTATTTTCCTTATTTTTTAGAATTATGATATTTCTTTTACATTAAAAAGTGGTATCATGGTTACCTTCAACGTTGTGCAGGAAGGGCCAGTAAATGCCCTTGCATTAAACAGGGATAATACACAAGTTGCTATTAGTGGACGAAATGGTATATAACAAAGCCGCACAATTGAGTCTGTTGTTACGTTTATCTGTCTTTTTTTTATAGTTTTTAAAGTATATTTAATCGAAGAAGATAAATTCAAAGAAGTCTGTAATTTGCGTACTTCAAAACACTTAAATTTAAGTTTTTCATGCAATGATATATCGTGGAGTGTTACAGACGGTAAGGTTATGTAGTCTACAGTTTACTACTGACACTAACATGATATAAAATCTAGATCATTATTTGGCTACTGCTGCTACTAATGGTCATGTATGTGTATGGAATCTCACGAAAATGGGTAAAGCAATGCAGGAGCAAGATTACCAAGAGCACAAGCGAACAGTGAATAAAGTTAATTTTCATTCTTCTGAACCAAACAGGCTCATTTCTGGTTCTCAAGATGGAACTATGAAGTATTTTGATATAAGATTAAAGACCTCTGTGGCAACATTTCACAGGTAACATCTTAAAATCATGAAATAGCAAGCTCATAATTTAATTTTCTTAGCAATACTGAAAGTGTCAGAGATGTTCAGTTCAGTCCACACATTCCACAAATGTTTGCTGCTGTATCAGAAAATGGCAGTGTACAATTGTGGGACATAAGAAGACCAGATAAGTGTCAACAACAATTTACAGCACACAGTGGCCCTGTCTTTGCATGTGATTGGCATCCAGAAGTACCTTGGATTGCAACAGCAAGTAGAGATAAAACAATTAAGGTAATCAAAATTAATAATGGATCATTAAAAATTGTTCAGCATGTACTATACTTAGATGATTAACTGTATTGTTTTCTCTCAGGTTTGGGATCTAAGTTCTAAGCCTACTTTAGAGTATACAATTCATACAATTGCATCAGTAGGACATGTCAAATGGCGTCCTCAACGAAAATATCATATTGCCAGTTGTGCTTTAGTTGTCGATTGTAGTATTAACATTTGGGATATACGCAGGCCGTATATTCCTTTTGCTGCATTTAATGAACACAAAGATGTATCAACATGTGTAGCCTGGAGGGGTGAACCTCACGTATTTTTAAGTACAAGTCGAGTAGGACATTTTAATTTCGATTGGGAAGTAACTGTTTGTAAAAAATATTTTCTTTTATAGGATTGTACCTTATATCAACATGCATTTAAAGATGCCAGTCGTCCTGCAAGCAAAGCAAATCCCCAAGGAATATCGCTTAATACTAAAGGCGATATTTTATATGCATGCCAGACCCCCACCAATCCGAATTTTCTCTCCAAAGTTACTAATTTAGTGAGGTAACTGATTAATTCATAATAATCTCAATTCATAATTATCTCTGTTACTTTAATATTTCAGGAAGAATTCAAACACTCTATCTAGTGATCAATTTCATCAAGCTTCAAGTCAACTAAGTCAGTTTATGTGTGTCCTTAGTCAAGATATGAAATGTTTTTGCAATTTAGCAAAAAATTACTTAATAACTGGTCAAAGTTTTTCAGAATTATGTGAACACAACGCTAACGTTGCAAAACAATTTGGAAAACATCAGGTAAATAAACAATACCGAAAGTATTTAGTTAATTGAATTTAATTTTAATATTAGAATTGTATAGGTTTCGTTGGTTTGGCAAATTCTGCGCATTCTTTGTAGTGAAGAGTTTCGCCAAAACTCTTCCTACCCGTACAATTCAAAATATTGCGACGACAATTTATCCTTCACAAATATTGTGGCTCTGACATTAGGATCTGCTGATCAAAGCACAGATAATGAGCAAAAATCACGAGGTAAATTAAAAAAATAATAATAAATGAGTTTTTAAATAAATGTACTACTTTAAGGGGGAGATACACCAGCCGCACAAAATAGCGGAGGAGACGACGAAACAGAAGCGGAAGACCAAGTCGATCATGTCAGTGGTTTCACGAGTTATAATAACTTTAAATTGGGACTTCCTCGTGGGGACTTCACATTTGGGGAAAACGAACTTGATTTAGAACTGGATGGGCTTAATTCAGGTTTAAAAATATATATATTCGCTGACTACAGTATTATCAAAAATTTGTTTCAGTTGCAGATATAAGAAACGGTTTTCACAATTATCACATCTCAGAACAAATCCAGGACTGGACGTTGCCCAACGAAGCTTTTAACATACGTCACGAAATCCAAGATCGTTCCCCTCCTCCAGAACAATTTCCCAAACACAATTCTCCCGACATAAATGATGATGGTCAAATCATTTCTACAGACGATCACTTTTCAGGGCCTCTAACAGTATTCAATCCCCCAAAACGGGCAACGTGGGATCCCAGTACAGTTATCGTGGACGCACTAAAATATCACGCAAATTTAGGAGACATCCAGACAGCTGCTTGCGTTCTTCTAGTTTTGGGAGATCAGAGACAGTTCTTAAATGGTCTGGACGAAGCTACACAAGAACATTGGTTACTCGGGTATATAGATCTGCTTGGAAGATACCGATTGTGGGACATTGCTGCCCAGGTCAGTAATACTAAAAAAACTTCGGAGTGTTGTAATGTTAACTCATTTATAGGTGATAAAATTGTCATGGATTCCAAGTATTAATCAAATGAGTCAACAGTCTACAAGGATAAATACGAATTGTGGTAAATGTAGCAAGCCCCTTCAGAGAGCCGGTTGGTTGTGCGATAGGTGTCATTCTTCAGAATATTCCCTGTGCAGCGTTTGCCACCAAGTTGTTCGTGGATTGTATGCATGGTGCCAGGGGTGCTCTCACGGAGGTCATTTAGCACACATACAAAAGTGGATAAGATCAAACAATAAGTGTCCCACAGGATGTGGACATCTATGCGAATATGGTTGAATAAAATAAAAACACACAGAATATTAAAAGTAGTTATTTAAAGACAAGTCTGAAAATTGTTGATATTTTCTATATTTAAATATTTATAAAAAGTAATAAACCTTAAGTCTTCTTTTAATCTTTGTTATTTCCAGCAATTAAGTAAAGAAATGGCTTTAGAGGATAAAGTACAAGCAGGTAGAATTTCTTTTCAAGCTCTTTATTGCTACATATCGATTTAAATAAAAATATATAAATTAAGCAAAATGACTTAATTTAAAATGGAACACTTGGCTCGTTTTATTGTAATTTTTTTATTTCGAGTGAGGATTTACTTGTTTTTAAATGTGATAAGTGCCTAATTAATGTATATTCATTAAATTACAACAAAATGAGCCAAATTATTATTTGAAAATGTTGCACCAAAAACAAAAAAATACCCAGCAAGCATGAAATATCAACAACAAAGGCTGCTAATATTTTTTAGTTTACAATTCTTCGAATTTAAACAAAAAAAAAACTTACTTAACAAGGCAAATATCTTTCTTTAAATGCACGTAGGTATTATACATTTGTTTACAGTAATTTTAACCAGTTCTTATCATACCAACAACTACAACTTATAAATAATTCAGTGCAACAAGTAAATAAAACAAAATGCAGTTGCATTTTACATAGAAAACGATAACATAATGTTTAAAAAGCCGTAGCCAGGTAACATGTGAAATCCGCCCTTGTCTTTTATGTTACTCCTATTGTCACTTATTTATACTCAGGTATTCTGGAAATTATACTCCTTCGCAAACAAAAAAATTTTTATTTTTCAAATAATTTCATTATTTACACACTACTAACCTGATGTTAATAAAAAATCAATTGCTAAGACACTAAAATCAAACAAATTTAACTGTAAAACTAGACAATACAAAATGAAGAAAAAAAATTTTTTTTTCAAGTAAATAAGTGATTGATCTCTACTCTATATTTTTTTTCTGATTTTTTCCATTCTAGCTGAAAGCATTGTTTTCCAAACTAATCAGAACAGTCAAGCATTTATTTTTGTGGTTCTTATTGTCTTATTTTACTTCTACAAACTATATTATATTTTTTGTGATTCATTCAATGTTTTAAATATTCATAATAAAAAGACAATTTTTTTTTGTAAAGTAGTGCAACTTCCAGCCTAAGATTTCTGATATAAATAGGTGTCAGTAGAGCTCACACACTTGTGTATTCCTGGCTGAGGATTTTCATCTGATTTTTCGCATTTTTAATTTACCAGTGCCATCTTTACTTAACTACCACTTTAATCAGCTTGGTACAAGAAAAATATAATTTTCTTGAATACTGTTCGACCTCGAAGCAAATACATTATGTTTATAAATTTATACAAAAGCTATGTATACAGTATATATTATTTATATACTTATGGACATCGTTAGACAGTCACTGCTCAAAATACAACATACAAAACTTACAGCACACATACATCCCTACATCAAAAGCTATATCTTATAATAAATATTAATTTATGAAACTTAAATTAAGATTTAAATTTCATAACTTTGGATTATTTCACCAGATCATAAAGCAAACTCACCAGTGCTTATTTACATGAAAGTTTGTATCCACACTTACAAAATTGTGCATTTAAGTTTCTTTCTTTTATTTTTATCCTTCCCTTTGCCATTACTTGTTTTATTTTCTTCCATCTTACGGGCACGAATTTCTCTCATCAAATCATAAAATACCTTTAAAAACAATGTGTTGTTAAATGATTTAAGTTGATAAATGCTTCTGACATATTTATTGTAGTATTTGTTTCTTAAAACAAAAATTATCATTTAATAAAAGCCAATTATTTCTTATCTTTAAGTAGCTGTAAATTATTATCAATCTGTGATAAAACCAATGTACCTTGTCAACGTGTTCCCTGGTTTTAGCGGATGTTTCAACATAAGTAACACCCCACTGCTTTGCTCTTTCGCTAGCCTCCTGAAAACTTACTTTTCTCTTATCCTCCAGATCACATTTATTACCCACTAATAAAAATGGAATATTTTCATCATTTTTAACCCGTAATATTTGTTCCCTATAATTATTAGTGTTTTATTAAAAAAATAACTTTAATAACATAAAGCAGTTTCAATAAGAAAGTACTCAATGATATCACTCTACCTAAAATCCTGAGTTGCCTGAAAACTCTCCTCTTCAGTAATTGAAAAAATACATAGAAACCCCTCTCCACTTCTAAAATAGTTGTCTCTTATGGCAGCATAGTCTTCTTGCCCCGCAGTGTCCAAAATATCAATTTGAACCTCTTCACCATCCAAAAGGATTTTCTTTCTGTAGGAGTCTGCTTTTGTTGGTTCATAGTCCTCTACAAACTCATCATACATAAATTGTAATGTAAGTGCAGACTTTCCAACACCTCCACTTCCAACCATAATAACTTTGTGGAGGGCAGGTTGTGATGTTGGTTTCTTCGACATTATGGTAAATATCTTTGTATAATATTAGAAAAAAATAATTTGTTTAATGAACGTCTCCAATTGTTTCTTCTATAATGATGTTACCACCCTTCACAATTACACAAAAATTATCACAGAAATGCACAGAAACGCAAACTGCTAAACCGAACTTCTTACGTATATTCAACAAAAAAGTATTTTATCTTATTAATGATGCACATAAAAGAAGTAACAAGTACAATTATTGTTTGCCTCGCCTAATCAAACAGCTTACTCCTTACTCATACACACTCATACATGTTCTGTTACCAAAGAGTCATTATCAAAATATTTTTTTAATATCCCCACTTCTTTATCATTTGTATCGTAATATCCGTAAATAAGTAATAATGATTAATCAAGATAGGAATATTTTTTACAAGGAAATAATTCTTAAAGCTGACACTAACAATCACCAAACAATACAAATACACACACAACAATAAATACATGTCAGTAAAAAAGTCAAGACAGCATATGAACTAACGGTTTAATTGCTAAATATAGAGTAGGTCATTTACACATTTACTAGTTTACTATATATTACATGCGTAACTAATTCTTAGGCATACTAATAACGCTAATAACTTGTATAATATGTAATTCGTACAGTAAAAACTAAAAAGTTTATACGTATTGTTTGAGTACACCGATTCTCTTTCTAATGAATATGTAAGAATTTTTAAAAAGTATTAAACCGTTGGGAAAAAATTTAATTTATTTGTCTTTAAAATAAATAAATACAGCATTATCAGGAATTGCTATTTTGAGATGGCAATAATTTGTGTCTTCTCATATTACTGAGGACTCCGTCCAACGACGTTGTTTTTTTCTTGGCACTTCCTCTTAAAGCATCTTCACCATCCTTTCGCATTTTTAATTTTGGAGACTGTACTTCATCCATAAAATCAAAGTCGGACTTATCTTCGGTTCTGTAACGCATTAAGCTTTTTATTAAACACAAAGAAAAGGAGTTTGTCATAAACACCTACGGTTTCAATACATCTTCTTCTTGGGGTTGATCTTGTACTTCTGGTGATGGTGATCTATATCCAGGACACTTCCATTTGATCTCTGGAAGTTCCCCTTTATCAAGAATATCATAAAGTCTTTCGATTTCTTCAACTGGAGGTTCCCACGTTCCTTTAATATTTTTAAATTCGTCATCGGAACATTCAACAACAAAATCGTCTGCCATCATTTAAAAATGATTCAAATTAGTCCCCATGCAGAATATCAGCAGCTAGGAATAGGATGAGCGTACGGATTGCGGATTGCGGAGCAGAAGTAGTTCTGATGTACGCATAAAATGTACATATGAGGTCAGCCGTTCCATAGGCGTCACAGGAACATGCTAGGTCACATAAAGTTGCAGCTCCACAATTTAAAGAAAATAAACTCATAAAATAAATAAAGCATGACGGAGCTTAAGGTTTAAACACCGGTTTAAACTCAGATCATATAAAAGTTTAATTGTAGAGTAGAATTAAACATCAAGCTACTTCACCCAATTTTAACTTTAATCTCAGACCGAAGTCGTAATCCATTCTTTAAATATGAATTCTCTCAAGCTGCAATTTCTAGAGAGGTCAAAAAGACTTTCTGTGTGGGGTCCATTGTATTTTATCCTTAATATTTTCAAATCAATGAACCGCTAGATATGCGGCAACCACCATAGCATATCTGAGTGGTTGGATGCCCATTCATAAAAAAAATCCCATCATTAAGAGCGCGAAACTTTTTTATTTTAAAACATGGTGCATATACTTCAACAAAAAACACAACACATTTAAAACACAATAACGTTGGTTTTAATTGCTTAATAGCTATCGATTCTTTTTTATTTTATTTGCAATGGTAGTTATAATATACGAGCAGATGAGAAATATTATAAAATCTAATTTCGTACACCCAATTCCAGTAATCAACACGAAAGAATACCTTGGCACTTTACCAAGTAGAACTCAAAATATACATTAAACACATGCTGAAATCGAAAGTTTACTTCTCATTGTAGATATTGCGATTAGTCAAGTAGAATGGTTAAAATATATTGTGTATATTTAAGTTTATTTGCTATTCTGAAGTTTACTTCAGCTTATGAAAATGATAAACAAATATATACTGTTGNTTATTTATATTATAAATTTAGGCATTTCTAGTTTTTTTCTGTAAATTTTTGCAAAAGAGAATAGTAAGGAATAAAAAGAAACAGGTAATAATTTTCACTTTGTAGGAGCAATATTTGATGAAACCGATAATGATCTGAGTAAAGCCTTTAGAATAGCGGTAAAAATTTATAACAGACACCAAAACTCGCACCGTTTTAAAGCAAATATTAAAACCGTTGCACAAAATGATATTCTCAAAGTAAAAGATACAGGTTCGTCTATCCCAGAATTTGTATAATCTTTAGCTTTTATTGATTTTGTAAAAATTTTAGTATGCAAAATGGTTGAGGAAAAAGATGGTGTAGTAGGAATATTTGGGCCGTTATCGTTAAACGGCCAATCAATAACACAATCCATATGTTCCACCCTTAACATCCCTCACATACAAATAAACTGGAAGCCCACAAGAGGTTCATCCCTTTCAACATCCTTAAACTTCTACCCTGATACAGATAAACTTGCGAAAGGTTTCGCAACGATTGTAAAACATTTGCAATGGAAAAATTATGTCATTTTATACGAAAAAGAAATAGCTCTTATTAGACTTCAGGAAATTCTAAAAATACCAAATGTTGAGGATAATCCCGTCGTCATAAAAAAACTTTCACCCGATGGCGATCAGAGGTAAAAAACAACAGTAATAAATGAGCCAGCTTTTAATTACCCATATAAAAATGTAAACTAGAATAAGTACTTGAAAATCAGTTTCATTTATCATTGCTCTTCCTTCAGTACTTTTATTTACAACTTTTAGAACACTCCTTAAAGAACTGGGTGATTCAAAGATCCATCAGATAATCTTGGACTGTGAACCGCAGAACATTATCAAAATATTGAAGCAAGCAAAAGAAGTTCATCTTCTAGATTTTTTTCACAGTTATTTTCTCACGTCTTTGGTAAAAATTTTCCTATTAAAAAGTTATTTGAATTCTATATGTACTTTTTGTTTCAATTTAGGATGCACATTTAACTGATTTTTCTGTCTTGGACAGTCGATCAAACATAACATACGTAAGAATTTTTAACTCCAATAACACTATGTTAATGCACGCAGTTCGAGAATGGGGAAGTTATGAACATTTTATGAATGAACCAGAAGATTTAACAACAGTCGATATCGTAAGGGTAAGGCTGAATTTTTACATATACTTATTTTTTTTATTCTATTTTATTTTTCACGTGAAGTTAAAAAAACATTTCAAAAATGTAAATGCATTTTTTGTGGTAAAAATGGAACCATTTTTAAATGGCAACAAATTCAATGGCCACCATTTAAATCCATTTTCGGTCAATATATATGATAAATCAACTTTCGACCAAAAGGCTAAAGGAATTAAAATACTAACCACTAAAGCAAGTCGTAAATGCCTACTTTTTTTTTAATATTTGCAACCCATTTTTCTGTTTTTTTCTTGAGACGGAAGCAGTACTGCTGCACGACGCAGTTAATACCTTTTTGCATACAATTTCTCAACAACGCAATCACATAAATGTTGACCCCACGCCATTACAATGCAACGGTGATGGAACCTATGAAGCTGGACACCATCTGGTCTCTTTCATGAGGAAGGTAAATCCTTTGCCCACCCTTTTTAATCCTAACAAACATCGGCATGTTTTAGCAATCTTTTGAACACACGATTACCGGTCCCATTAGTTTTGGCCCTAATGGAACCAGAACAGATTTCAATCTCCTTTTAATTGAAGCGGAGACTAGCTATCCCGATGTGGCAACTTGGAGCCCGGAAAATCCCGATGAATTACAATTTCAACGTTCATCAAGCGAACAACAGCAAAGGATTCTCGAAAATCTTCAAAAAGACACTGTCATAGTGTCGTCCAGGTAAATTGTTCATCCAGTATTGAAACGTGGACCAAAATATCACCATAATAATTCTAAGATGTGATTCATCAAACACGTTTTCAGAATTGGAAGGCCCTATCTTATGCGAAGAACACCCAGTAGTCCCGATGAAGTCCTTGAAGGAAACGATCGATACGAAGGATATTCAATGGATCTTATACAAGCTATAGCAGAAGAGCTAAATTTTACATTCAAATTTGTTTTAACTGAGGGCAATTACTATGGGAATTACGTTCCGGAAAAGAAAACCTGGAATGGACTTATAGGGGATCTACTCAATAAAGTAATTATTATAAAAGAATAATTCTTCCTTTTTAAGTGTGCACCTATGATTTATTTTTCTTACAGAAAGCCCATTTGGCAATATGCGATCTTACTATCACACATCAAAGGAGACAAGTTGTTGATTTTACGTTACCCTTTATGACGTTAGGTAAATGGTACCAATAACTCTTTCCATTAAGAAAGTTACCAATGATTGGAATAATTTTGGTGTTGTTCTTTGAAATACACATTTCTCCTTTTCAGGTATTGGTATTTTATATAAGAAAACCGAGGAGGGAGACAGGAATATTTTCGCATTTATGGACCCATTCTCTATTGAAGTGTGGATATATACTTCCACCATGTACCTAATAATATCCATTTTGCTATTCTTTATATCTAGGTGACTTCAATTAGTATATTTTTAATAAAAAACCTGAGTTTTAATCTAAAAGAATGTGTATGTATGTAGGATAGCTCCTGGAGACTGGGAGAAACCTCATCCCTGTGATGAAAATCCCGACGAGAAAGAAAACATATGGAATCTAAAGAACTGTTTCTGGCTAACCCTTGGATCCATAATGACACAAGGATGCGATATTTTGCCCAAGTAAGATAGGCAATTAAAAATTGTAAAAAATTTATTTATTCCTAAATTTTAATTAGAGGAATTTCTTCGAGAATGGCCACGTCTATGTGGTGGTTCTTTTCACTGTTAATGACCAGTTCTTATACAGCTAATTTGGCAGCCTTTTTAACAATGGAGAAAATGGGTCCAACCATCGACAGCGCCGAAGCTTTAGCAAAATCCAACATAAAATATGGAGTAGTTGCTGGTAAGTACTTTTAGTAATACTTTAAGTACCAGGATAACCCAAGACAATCATTTAATAGTGACTTAATCTATAATAATAAAATTTTTTGACGCTTTACAATTATTATCGTTACAATAAATTACTGTTTTATTGGTAAGTATATTTTTTCATTAATTTATTTTTGTGTTTAGGCGGTTCTACTCAGGCTTTCTTTCGAGAATCAAATTACTCGTTGTACCAACGCATGTGGACCCAAATGCAACAGTTCAAACCAAGTACGTTCGAAAAAAGCAACGATGATGGAGTCAAAAGGGTCTTAAACACCAAAAATAGCATGTATGCCTTTTTTATGGAAAGCGTTTCGATTGAATACGAGGTGGAAAGACATTGTGAACTGAAACAAGTTGGAGATGTTTTGGACGACAAGGGATATGGCATAGCCATGCCAGTTAGTAAGTCAAAAATTATTCATATATGATCATATAAAAGTATCAAATATAACAACATGAAGAAACGCAAGTTACAAAACAGTTTATTAAAGACCACAATGATAATTTCGTCACGCAGTGGCCTACATAGGCCAAGCAGTTAGATGTTTTAAAGAGTGGATAAAAGAACATAAAACAATTTTAAAAACAAGACCTCTAATTCAACTTATGGACAGAACTTACTACTTAATTTATATAACTTTATTGACTATTTCCAGTTGTTACGTAAAGGTTTAAAATTAAATTTATTGGAATGTCTGGAAATTAATAAATTAAACAAAGTAGTTATCGATAATCACACTGATGTAAATAAATCTCCCCTTTTACACATTATGGTCTTTATTAAAGTGTTTTGTGATTTATTGTATTTATGATCGTCATTACCTCACAAGAATTAAAAGATTTTTTAATTCACATATTAAATATTTTCGTGATTTTACACTTTTTTTTATTTTTTATCCCACTTTAAATAAATGGTACCTTAAACGCTCTTATGCCCTTTCAAATTGACGAACAACATTTCTGCCCATTTAATTACACCAACAACTTACTAAATGATAAATATATATAAGCCTTGTAAATTACTTACATATTATGACAATCAGCAATCCCCACAATATCCACTTTAGGTCCTCACTGTATCACATTTTTTATTAACACTTAATTCCTAACAACAATATTTATTTGTCCTCATATTTATTTCCCGTGTAGAACACCTCTTCAACGTTGTTTACGATATTTACTGATTAATATAACATGAATGATCGCTGGTCACACATTTATTGCTCATTCTGAGCATTCCAACTTTTTGTCAGATGATGCCAAAATTGATAACAAATACTAGCGAGTATATTATACGCGGTCCAATCAATGAAAAAGATGGTAAATTTTAAATAGGAAAAACGAAGCAATTAAAAAAAATAATAAAAAAATAATGTTTTGTTTTTATCATTTAAAGATGCACCCTACAGAAGTGCCATCAATAAAGCTATTTTGAAACTTCAAGAAGATGGTACGTTGTCAGATTTAAAAACCAAATGGTGGAAGGAAATGTATGGGGGTGGTGCCTGTGATGTACGTAAATGTAAAACATACATAAATAAAAATATAAATTGCAATAACAATAAATAATTAGGTAACTGTTCAGAATATAGGGCCCATGGACGGTATGAGGAGAGAAATGGGTGGAGGGTAATCTTGTACACTACAAAAGCATTTTTTAGATAGGGTGGGGGGATTGGGGCGCACGGGATCGAGATAAAAAGACAAATGTTAAAAAAGAAACAAATGCAATCTAACCCAAATTTCTCCTAATCTTTCTAATAACTCCTCATTTCTAATCTCTTCTATCCACTGTATTTTTATCATAGTTTCTTTTTTAATATTCGATTTTTCAGCCCCGTCTTCTCTATCTTCATCTATTCGCCCCAATCTAAAAACACCTTTTTAGTGTTGTATCAGGTCATAACTACCCTCTACACCCATTTGTCTTTTTCCAACCGTAGGTCCTACATTTTGTAAATAATTATTACCAATAGTTTTTTGTTTCTAACTGTAGGAAGAAGATTCTGGTTTAAGCAGTATTGACCAGCAAAAACTTGGTCTATCCAACGTAGGAGGTGTGTTCTTGGTTTTAGGAATAGGGGTTGCTATTGCCCTTGTCATAGCCATGGGAGAGTTCTTATGGAATGTAAAGTGTCTTTGTGTCGAAGAACACGTAAGTTATAAGTTCTGAAAAGTGTCCAAATAAACTTTCATACAATCCTCTTCTACATTTTTTTCTTTTGTATAATTAAATGCTCTTTTATATATTTTTTTTAGATTACATACTGGGAAGCTTTGATAATAGAACTGAAATTCCTTGTGAATATCAGAGTTACGAAAAAGGCAACGAAAATACCAACCCCTTCGACCAGTGAATCCAGCGATAGTAATCAATCTACAAGACCCCAAAGTTTGGTCGAAGGGGTACTCCATGGAGCCCGATCTTTGCTGAATTTGGACATTCTAGAAAAATACAATCCTTCCGGAAAAAAAGATTAATTTTTGATTTGTCCTTACATACCATTTAACGATCGCATTTTTTCTATTATTAGTAAATAATGCAACACATACGATGTTAACTACTAACAACTGTAAATGCAAGACAATATTAAAATAAAAAATAATTACGTTCAACTTTTTCTTTAATTTTAATTTATTAAATTATTACATTTTACTAGAGGCAAACATCATGTATATATTATTTATANATTAGAACAAGGAACATGCGCATGTATATAGAAAGAAGGGATTCGAAATAAAAGGAAGATTTTTTTAGTTAACAATAATAAAATAATTCGATTATTCTTCTGTAACATTGATAAACATTTTAAATTGGAATGTAACGGACATAAAAGGAATTTTAATTAATAATTAATACATCATGTCCGTCACTTCACAAACAATACTAAATATCGAATTTAACTAAGCTCAAGTTTATTATCCATGCAGTTGTTAATAAAATTAGTAATACTTCTTTGTTTAACAATTACCAAATTGTTATTAATTTAGCGAAGAAGATATATTAATTATGAATAATCTATTAGTCCATTCTACACATTTAAAATTCATTAAAAGGAACCTGAATGAAATATATGCAACCCCCAAACTAGCTAAGTGTGAATGTGTGCAGCTGTATAACAACGTTACAAACTTTTTCAAACAATATTACATTTTATTTTTCGTATTAGAATTTAAATATATATATAAAAACTTCTTCTACTCAGCTGTTGTGCTTAATATTCAAAATCAAATTTGTACTACTCTGTATTCTCAAATTTTTAAAAAATTTTGACTAATAAAATAAATTATAGTAAAGCAGCTATCACTTAGATACCTAACACATATTATATCACAAAAGACTCACAATCATTGTAATTAATTACAATTCATAAGAATTACAATAGCCAGCGCAATTGTAATATCGTACTAATTATATATAAATAATCGGTATAATTGCCTAAATTTCGATATTATCAATTTACTTCTCTCGAAAGTAGATCGTGAACAACATAATGCTTTTTAGCTTGAAGTTGTTCAACATATGAAAGAAATATACACCAAACTAAACTACACATACTAACATAGGGCACCCTGTTACGTTCAGGTATGAACATGAAATTTATTGTCTGAAATACAGGCCATACAAAAAATCCCACCTGCAAAAATTTGATTTTTAAGTATGTAGTGATATCTACAATTATATAATCGTTCAATTCAATTCAAAAAAACAATCAATCAAAGCTCAAGCTCATAAAAAAATGTCATTTTGGACATGTACTGATTATAGTAATAACATGCTTACCTTCCATGTAGGGAGAAATTTATTTCTTACTTCCTCTTTGGCTTCCTCAATGCTTTTAAATTGTAACAAAGACATTCCAAAGAAAAAGCAAATCAGTGCTGCTGGGCCATAAGTTATTTGTTCAACCACTGCCTGCCAGAGAAACATTTTTAAATTATTTTCATTGGCGCCTAAATATTATTATTATTACATACTGTAGTTATCAAATTTTACAACAGATGCCACTAACATGCTGATATATTGATCATAAAAGTGAAATTTGTAATAAAAACCACAAATATTAACACAAAAATACCGCACACTTGAGGAAGATTATTTAAAATTTAGATTTATCTCACCTTGGTTAGTGCGGTTTTTAAATTTGTGCTCGGCCAAATAATTGTTGAAATTCTAACCCAGCCATACAATGTAGGGGCTGTAAACAACCCACCATACAAACTGAATCGTAAAACTTGATTCCAGTCTAAATTATCCCACGATCTTCCAGCTATTTTTTGTTGTATAACACAAGAAATTGGCCACAATGTTGCATAAGACGCCATACCTCTGACTATGGGATATTTACGAAAAAATGCAAAAAATTTTGAAAAATGCGCCATAATTTCAATTAATTAAAGAATTGGGTATTTAAATATAATAACTAAGGTAGCACTTTAGTATTAATTAGGGAACATTACCCAAATGTTACAATATTTTGTTATGAGAATAAATGATGACGAAATTTAGTGATTCTACTCTAGCTTCACTGCCAAGGAATCATGTTATTGAACTTTGAATTGTCAACTACGTTTAATGTAATCATAATAATTTTACAACTTATTATGTAATTATTTATGGAACATGCATAGCAAAAGGGACGAATGCAACGCTTTGAGGTCACAGTTTTAAAAAACGCTATCTCATTTCAGTTTAGGATACCTACCTATGACCTAAATTTACAAATTTATTTAAATATATTGCACCTACATATAATAATGAAACAGTTATTTTAAAATTGTATTTTATTCGTATTTGCGTTAGAAACGAACGAAAAGCTTATCTTTAATATCTATTTTAATAAAATTTTATCGTCAACATAAAAAATGCGCAAAATCGTCTTTTCGACTCATATTCTGAGAATCGATAACATTCATTATTTGAACTGTAAGCATATCGCAGTACGAATCAGCAAATTGATGATATTTAGTCTTATTTAATATTATAATAAAAACTTGCAACTATCTTCATTAAGTAAAGAGAAATCTACCAATCCTGTATATAGAAATCAACCTTGACAGAATTTTGCTTGAGGTTACGAGTTACTCACTGAAGCATTAACATATTATTAATTTATCAATCGGGCATAGGTGCACTTGAATCCTGAACAAAATAGAATTTGGATAAGATTATTTTTTTTGAGTTTATGAGAAAAGTATCGCGTGTAATACACACTGATCATAAAGTTTATATAATAATATTTCAACCAATTATTCTTTGTAGTAAACTTGCTCGTGTCAAATGTATACGAAGTCCGATAAATGTTGCTATAACTGTAATATATAACGGTTTAAAAAAAATGTTTAAAGTCGCTCTCTTTGTCACAATAGCCATTGCATTTTCTGCTTATCTATTTAATGATTCAATTAAAGAATATCTCAAGGGTGAATCTTCGGAAGGCGATAAACCCCAAAGCGTAAAGGTATTTAAAAGCATAAAACGGTACGACGGTAAAAAAAGCAAAAAATTGTATTTGTCTATTTTGGGAGATGTTTACGATGTTTCAGCAGCACCTAACTATTACGGTCCTGGATCGTCATATAACGTGTTCGTTGGTAATACATATACAGTGTGTCTGAAAATTAATTTTAAAAATGGTACCTTATTCCATTGATTTCAGGAAAGGATGCATCACGAAGTTTCGTCACTGGTGACTTCTCTGAGAACGAATCGTCAGATGTTCTTAAAGGATTTACCAGTGAGCAGTATTCATCATTGAAATACTGGGTGGATTTTTACGCAAAAAACTACAAATTGGTTGGTAGGTGCCGTTTTAGTGAATTTAGTCCTTAATCAACAGAAAAAGAGCTTTACAATACACATTATTGCAGGCAGATTAAAAGGACCCTATTACAACGAAGACGGAAGTGAAACGGAATATAGAAAGGAAGTTATTGAATTGATAAAAGCTGCAGAAAGCAAAAAAAAGAAAGAAAATAAAAAGAAGGAGCAGTTTCCTTCTTGTAATTCACAATGGAACCCTGATACCGATACTACAACTCTTTGGTGCACTAAAGAAAGGTAATGGTAATTGTGAGCGGTACCAAAATGGCGATTTTGGTCCCTCCAATGCAATTCAAATACAAACAGCTGCAGCAAACTTATTATTATTTAATAGAATTTTATTTAGTTACTAATATATTTGTTATTTTTTTATTTTAGTGGAGGAGATCGCAGGGACTGGATCGGAGTACCGCGAAAATATTATCAACCCGGGTCCAAAAGCTTCAGGTGTGCATGTGTTAATGAAGATAAACTTAATAACAAAAATTTACAGGAATACGATGGCTGTGATTCATCTTCTAACAGTTGCAAAGTGAAACATGATAAATAGAAAAATACTTATTTATGTATAAAATGTTTTTTTTTCTTTAAATAAAACGTTCTTATTGTACAAAAATTAATTACATTACTTACATTAAATAAATTAACCGGAACAAATAACAACACGATAAATACTATAACTTTTGCATACAATAACTAAAAATAAGTAAGTATTAGGGCCATAAGTTATTT